TGATACTGGCCCTGACCATTGAAGGAAACTCAAGTTACAATGGAAATTGTGTGATGCTGTGTTCTACTCCACTGGTGGAGGGGAGGAATGGGGGGCGGGGGGGGGCGCTTAGGAAGCGTCCAATAGTGCTTCACAAAACTACAGTATAACATAACGATTGCATCTTTTAAAATAATCATGAAGTGTAACCAGGAGTCAACAGTTTAATCAACAACCCATGTAATAAAGGATTTTAGTCCTGTTTTTCTGTTCAAGTGGTATGCAGGGAATCATGGGAAATGTAGTCCAATGAGATTCACTCATAGGTACAGTGATGTTGTGTAACTGATACAGTTAAGTGATCACTGCCCATGTGTGGAGATTTAATACAGTGAGTTAGACCATTAACTCTTTGTAGCCCATTTTTCTTTTTTACAGGTGTTTGTGTTGCCATGCTCATTTTTCCAGGCACGCAAGTCCTGTTGTTTGGACATTTCACACAGAGCACAGCCGCCCAACCACTCACAAGGGACGTGCAAACACAAGGCTACCAGATATACAAAACCTGTGGAATAGTGGGTCAGAATGAGTGGTCGGCATCCTGTCAACGCAAGAAAAGCCAGTGATTAATCACATTGAATCCATGTCAATGTGGCCCAGGCAGAAAAAAAAACACATAACATATCAGTTTGTAGACAGCTCCACGTACAAAACCTGTGGAAAAATGGAGACAGAAACAGTCAGAGCTTCCTGATCTTCTTCTATTTTGTACGTGAGTGAGTCAACATCGCAACACCTCTGTCAACCTGCTCCAGTTCAAAGTGAACATGCAGGATCCCAGGGCATAATTTATTACAACACCACTTTAATGTAGGTCATGACAAAAATAGATTTGCCAAAGAGTAGATATTACGAAACGCTGCATGCAGTGAACAACACTTTTAAAAAAAACATAGTTTGGTGTTATCTGTGAGAGTCTACAACGGGAACAAAGTAGTGTTGGTCAGTTTATGAATTCATCTATCCAGTTTCTATCCCGCTTATAGTTTTTATTGTCATAAGTGTGCTGGAGCTCCGCCCATCTTACTAGGCAGGCGCCAGTCCATTGCAAAACACATCGAGACAACCAACCAATTTTGAGTCTTAAATTAACCTGAGGACCCCCCCCCCCCACACACACACACTTAAGAATATATATATATATATATATATATATATATATGTACATATGTATGTGTATATGATATATATCCTTGTCCTTCAGACTATATATATATATATAAACCTCTGTCAGAGTATATAACGGGATGTCATTTATATTATGGATTTTTTTTTTTATTTGTTTAATTTACGGGCATTGTGTACATACATTAATATCAAGTGGCATGATGGGAGCACCAGATTTAGCAAAAAGATCATTTCCATCTGTAGTCCATCTATATCATTAGATTTCGCGCCTTGCTACTGAGGGAATGCTGTTTCTTTTCCTCCACGAAGCAATACGCTTGCGCCGGGATTTTCGACATCATTCACTATTCATCTATCCATTCATCCATCCATTTTCAACACCGCTTATCCCGAAGAGGGTCGCGGGGAGTTGCTGGCGCCTATCCCAACTGACTTTGGGCAGGAGGCAGACTACGTCCTGAAATGGTTGCCAGCCAGTCACACAGCAGATAGAAACAAACAAGCATTCACACCCACATCCACACTGCCACTGAGTGGGAACCGATCCCATGCTGCCCACATACAAGTCAGGCGAGTGTACCACTACACCATCAGTGACACCATCCATCTATATGATTATTATTATTTGTCAAAAGCAGTGGTATAAACTAGTAACGCTGCAAATTTATATGCACACAAAACAGCAAACTGCATAAAATTATTAGACAACAGAAAAAAATGCATATAGAGCACTTTAGGATACTTTATGCTTAGCTTTTCATTGCTGTTGAAGTTATTGCAATTTTTTTTTCACTCATAAAATTTAACCTTCATAATGTTTGCACATTTTTAAGATGTTGGTTGTATTAGATTGTTGTGTGACTGTTGTTTTATTTATTTATTTATTTATTTTTATGTGAATCGAAGCACCTGATTGACTGACTCGCTGATCTGAGTGCAAAAAATTAATTTTGTTGGACCACCACCATGGCAAAGTACTACAAAAGGGTAAGGAAGCATGACTTACGGAAATTATGATAAATTGTCACGAAAGATTTTAAGCTACGATGGTCTCATCCCCGGTTCGATTTCAATGAACAATGCACTTTTTCTTCTTGTACGGAGGTCCACTTACGGTAGGACTAAAGTGCGCTCGGATCCATAGTAGTCATACATGCAGGTCTGCTGTGCATACATCTCATCGTGAAGGATGGGCAGCTTGCGTAAAATCTGCACAAAAGCGTTGGCTTTCGGTGAAAGAACTGTGGATGAGAAGTATAAACACATCTAATTACTGTATGTTATTTCACAATGGAAGCCTGGGGCTTTTCTGGAATCTTATTTCTATTTACGGTGTAAGTGTCATACTGCACTCTAGTGGCTCATGTGAGATTACAACACATTTAAAACCTGATCTTGAAAATGAAAGAGAGCTGATGAGGCTTGCGAAAGATCCAAATCATGTGGGTTTATAACAACACCCAAACCAGAAGGTAAACCATGAAAAATTCATAGGGACCGGGCCATGAAATTCATGAAACAAATTAAAGCTACACACCCTGGATCAAATAATGTAACGCTAAAATACAAATCCTGGATTGTCGCTGGAGACCTTGTCAAACAAGTCATCGTTTAGCAACCCTCTCAGTGACTATAGTTGCTCTTTAGAGGTAAACTGCACACAAACCTACAAATATCAGTTTTAAATGCATAAAATGTGGTTTACAATTGCTCAGGTTTGCATATCACTGGCGTTGGACGTTAATCTTGTACCTCCAAAATCATCACTGAGGAGACCCCAAAAATACACTATGTTTGTTCAACCATGACATTGTCACAGAGAAAAAGCCATTTTTAACATTGTAAATTGGTCAGTAATTTCTAAAACTAAGACCCACATGTGAACCAACAAATACATATTTGTGAAAAAAATATAACACTGACCAAATTGTGAAACAGAAGGTTTCTGCCCAATGCCAGCAATATGGATTTAAAATAGGTACTAATTTGTAGATCTCTTGAATTGAACTGGAAATACTGCAGGGTCTACTACTTCCTGTTTTGTCGAATTAGTTTTCATGAGCCCCCCAAAATATCAATTCCTCCCCAAATAAAAAAACTTATGCAACAGAAAATTGTTGGGTAATCTTGGGAGAAAATGTGTCTTAGCCAGATGAGCTGAGTGTGTGTTTTTGGCAAGACATGCACCATCAGATAAGACTGTCAACATTTAGTTCATTGGAGCCGGGCTGTGCTGGTGGAGTTATCCGTCAACACTGTCCGTTTTGTGTTTAAAAATAATTCCCTTTTATTTGTACTATACTACATACTCTTCCAAGTATGTATATTGTACTTAAAACGATTGGATCCAAATCAACAAATACTCTGACATCACTTCCTGTGTGAGTGGAAGAAAATAGTGATGGGTGGCCTATATGAAGCAATACATCTGTAATAACGGACAGTTAAGTCAAAAATGATTTGAAGAGTAAATGAATAATATTGAGTATTTGTTGGACTATTTGGCACTGCAAACTATGTGGCACTGTATGGTGTTTGTCACTTTGTCCTCTCTTAAATTTTGTTCTGTTCGACTACATTCCAATACAAATGACAAATGATGGTGTGGCACATGTTTGTACGTCAGAATCACCTGGCCCGATTCGTGATTCACCTGCATGTGGTGAGGCAACCTCGTGTTCGGAAGGACAAAACATCAAGAAGCAGCTAAAAAAGAGGCTACCAATTGTGCTAGCGGCTTGACCTTGGCTGCACACACGCAAGCGGAGTGGCAATAAATAGTCGCGTAATCACAAAGTGAACCATCGCTACCGTTGTCCGTGAGTGTCATCCCGATGGTCCCTCCCGTGTTGAGGACCAAGACGCGCGCTTCGACCACACTCGGCGAGCTGGCCAATTCGGTGCCATCGAACGACCCGCAGCTCGTTAGCTGCCTCCTTCGGCACGGATGGACCTGGGCATTTCGAGGCGATACCACCTCGTTGGATTCTGCCGTGTCCAGTTGATGGTGGGACAGAGCCCGGGCAAGCGGCGTCAAGACGTTTGGGGGGCTACTCGCCATGCCTGGTGAACAGAAAGCCAATGCTCTTGCTGCTGCTGCTTCTATTATTGTATCACCCTACGGTGGTCTTTGAACGTCACAACGGACCCCTGCAGAAGAACAACAGTCGTGTACGTTTAAACAAAACCTATATTTTAATACCGACAAGTGTAAAGACGATGTTAGCACTGCCGTGAACGTACCTTACGCTTGTCGACCTGCTTCCTGTCCAGCAACGCGTGAGTTTTATCCGCGGAGTTTACTTTGGGGGGGATTTGTTCCTGTGACATCAGTAATAAGGGGCGTGGCTTTCCGACACACGAAGTGACCCATGGTCAACCCATGGCTAGTCATAAAGCCGTATTTAACAAATGAGGGATTGAACACGGGTTGCACACATTATATTGCATCAGTAACCTAGTAATTTTGCCTTGTCAAAAAGAATATTTTAGATAGTTATAGCTAAATTCATTCTTCGCATCCATAATTGGCGTTTCAGAAGGTCAGCGTCATTTCTCTTAGGACGAATGACGTCTCTTTCTCCTTGTGTATACGTTTGTTCAGCAGCTGTTACTTGATATTTTCTTCTTACTGTAATAATAACTGCGTGTTAATTTGATTGACTGATTTTTGTATTATTTATTTCCTCAAATAAATAAATGAATACGTTTGTCTCAGCAGATTTCTATATTTCATTCACAGATATTTGCTGTGTGAATTACAGCTGCCTTTCATGGACTTCTTGTTATCTGGAACTCTCGTGTGAGATAGATGCAAAGGCAGTCTAAGTAATCATGTATTCCCGTTAAAAATAGCTTTATTTCGCCTCAGTTCAAGACATTAATCATGTCCCTTTTCTGATATCTGAATCAAGGAAATAGCAGTAACTGGAATTATGACTAGACATAATGGCAGTTAAATATAAAAATTACAGATATCTACAATTCATGTGCAGATATTGATTGATTTGTGGATATCTGTAGTGGGTAACTCCAACTCCATACACATGAAAAGCAAAATTGATTTTGTCCTCGGAAAAATGACAGGCTGTGTGTGTGTGTGTGTGTGTGTGTGTGTGTGTGTGTGTGTGTGTGTGTGTGTGTGTTTTTTCCCTCCCACCCCCTGGCTGTTTTTTTCACTC